TGTACGCACACAAGGATTACATAAAACGTTCATAAGCATAAGAATTACGTTCGTCCACTGTGAACAGGGGTACACGTTTTCCATCGTTTCAACTTTACGTATTTATGTAAGCTTTATGTACTTGTTATGCCTTATGTCCATTGTGAATGGGCAGTAGCACGCTTATTTACATCGACTTTAACATTACAGACGTGCATTTGTTTTGTGCGCTGTCTAGGTTCCGCGAATGTGGAATAGACATGTTTATAATCAACCAATCGTGAATTCCACCGTCAAAAATTAAAATAAAACCCAATGTTTTATATAATAAGCGGAAGTCGAAGCAATAAAACCCATGGTCGTTTTGTTTACAGTTTCTCTGTTTGACTCTCACGTATGCTGTTACGCTTGTCATCTTAAATTAAGAATGCTTATACATAAACGATTTTCAGTTGCCTCTCACCGGCGCCGTATTCGTCAGTAAATTGTTTCGTTATTTTATTGATTATAACAAATCAATATTCAAAACGACCCAATTCATTTTCCCGAAAATTTGGGAATACAATAATTTTATTCTTAGTATTACACTACATCTATCCCAACTGATATACGTGTCCTTGCAAAAATGTTGATGACGTCATCGCAATTTTTTTTTTAATTCCACACTACAAAAATGAAATGAGAAAAAAAACACAATAGCCATGCAGTCGTCAAGTTTCCGACAGCGAGGGAAGTACTGTCTAAACTCTTTAGACCAATTTTTTGTAATAAAACGTATGCTCGGGAAACCTGTTTTTGTAATTTGTAAATGAATTTAGTTCGGTTATTACGATTTTTTTTAATTTTTGGAGCATATGCAATTGCTTATCTCTGCATATATTAAGAAAGTTACTGCATATTTGTATAAATTTGATGCATATCATATGATCATATTTCCCAAAATTTGGTGCATATTTTCCGCTCTCTACTTACAATATTATATATTTGTATCCCTATTCGAGATCTACTAAATGTGTAGGAGTTTTTATCAATAATGTGCTTGCTTACTATGGACATGGTAATTAACTAATTAATTTAGCTGACTGCCCAAATTTGAAGAAATACTTCTCTCCGAAGATATTAAACAAATGATATTTTTTCAAGATGTTTGCTCACTACTTATTACACTCTAGAACATTGCTTTCTTGATTACTGTACTTAAATGTAAGGAAATGCGTATATTTCTTTATTTAAATTCGTACATATATAAATTAATCCCGAATTCTTCATTACAAGCGAATTTTTACCTACAACGGTAACAACATAGGGTTATGCTTGAAAATATTATCTAAACGACAGGAAAGTTACGGTGTATGTATGGCAGATACAAATATTTTTGGACACTTAATCTAGTTACTTCTTGTTTAGTGAGTGCAGTGCAAACACGTTTAATTTTGCTTGTAATTTCACTACAGATCAATTGCTTAAACATAAAAAGTAGCCAGTTGCCCTATGGACCCGATTACAACACTTTTTTAGCTTACGCTCGGAAAGTAAAAATGAATCTCAGTCGACGCCACGATCTCCCCTCCAACGAATGTAATTGTGCAATGTGCAAGACCAGTTAATTAACGATTTTCTAATCTGAGACGTGAAATTTTGCCGAATTCGTCAGCGTGTGTTATTTTTGTTTTACTGTTTATAAATTCACAGTTCATTATAGTATAAATTAACAAGAATCATGTCAATGTTCATTCGCTTATTTCAGGTTCAACTTATTTTTTAAACAATGCTATTTAAAGTTCTGAATATTTTAACTTAAATTATCAGTTAAAATAGTTTATTTTTGGCTTTTAAGCTAACCTTAAATGTTAATTCATTTTAGAGAAAGGACCTTGAAAATTATCATCAGTTAAATTAATATCATCGTGGACTCGAAATAGGAGTGTATTTTATGCTGTTTTTGTATAATTTGTTATTACGTCCGGACTATTTTCTCACTGCTTGAATTTGAACATTTATTCCCGAATTATCATTTTGATTATGACCGCATTTTTTATGTGCTTTATATTATTGTTATGCAGATGAAGTTTAATTTTTGATTAATCATTAACTTGATTTATTGCAATTTTTAAGCTCAGGTAAATTCTTTATTGGTTAAAATTGGTGACATAGTGTGTAAGATTTATTTTGCTTGTTTTGGAGCAAATTTATGTTTAATGCGGTCACCTGTATTAATCAATGTCAACGCAATAGTAAACAAAGATAAAGAAAGAAAAGAAATAGTCAACACTAACCTTTATACTCCAGGCGAAGAACATATCTATAGAGATAAAGATTCGAATGTACGAGACAATGATACGATGAGTTGTGTTATACCCAAGTGAAATACGGACCATGAATGAACAACAAGAAATAAAGTTAGAAATATGAAGAAAGCTAGTTGGTTATAGGATATCAGATAGAGGATACATTAAAAGGTGTTAGAAGTTGGACAAAGCAAGAAAAAAAGAAAATTACGGTCAAATAAGAGAAGGAAACAGCGGAATTCGAGAAAATGGGAAAAATAAAATATATTATATTATACAAAAGGAGGTATACGACCAAAGCCTAAGCTTATGTGGTCGTGTGCAACTTATAAAGGGATATAATAGAGAAAAGAAATGAAATAAAGAAAAATAAAATAAGAAAAGTTATGGAGCATAAAGCCTGTTCTTGAATGAGTTGAGACGGGAAGCCTCAACGGGGGCGGCGGGAAGATTGTTCCACGAATAAAAAATGCGGTTTGGAAGGAAGTATTGTCTGTGGCGTGTCCTGTAGGTTTGTTTCTTGACCTTGAATTTGTGTCTTCTTAATCGGGCATCGGTGCTTAAGGAAAATAGATCACCTGATTGTGTAGACCGCGAAAGCAAAAGATCAGATCACCCCTATGTCTGCTGCCTTCAAAGGTTGTTAGTTTTGACATTCTGAGGCATGCTTCCTACGGTGGCCGAGTGGCGTAACGCTATACAGACTCCAATACGTTACGATCTCGTATATATTGTATACTCCATACAGGACCACAATATTCCAGAATTGGGAGCGCATAAAGCGTGTAAAGCTTAGTAAACCTAGCAGGAGAAGGATGCGTGAAGGTCTTCGAGAGCAGGAATAAAGCGGATTTTGCTTTTTTGCAAATAGAGTTAATATGGGAACACCATGACAAGTCCGATGTTATCTTTATGCCAAAGTCTACGTAGAAAGAGACTGATTTGAGGACAATTCCATCAAGATGGTATGCATACATGGGATTCTTGGATTCCAAGTGAAATACCACACATTTGTCAGCGCTAATAGGCATTTGCCAAACTGCACTTTAATAAGACAGACGATTGATGTTGGTTTGAAGGGTCTGATAGGCATGAGTCGGATTGCCATAGAATTTCAAGTCGTTAGCATAGAGAGAGGATTTAGTAATGAGAAAGCAGAGACAAATATTAGGAATAGGATGGGACCCAATACGCATCCCTGTGGAACCCTACTTACAACTGCTTTAGTAAAAGATAACGTATTTCCCGCTTTCACTTGGAAAGATCTGTTATTTAGATAGGTAAATTGCTAGAGGAAAGATCGCCATTGATCCCAAAGTGTTTAAGTTTGATAAGAAGTCTTTCATGTGGGACCTTGTTGATAGCTTTGGCGAAGTCTACATTAGGACGTGATTTTCAAGTGAAAAAGTCCAGTCATTAATATATGATGGTAGATTGGTGGAAATCGACCTTCCACCAATTTCACCCGATGGCATCTGTAGATGGAATATCCAGGTAGTGATATGACTGAGTCCGGAATGTCAGTTCCAAGCCAAGTTTCTGAAATAATGATGCAAGGAGGAACAGAATTTTGATAAAGCAATGTAAGATCACAAAATTTGGAAGTTAAGGAACAGATTTTTGTGTAGCAAATAGAAAATTCCGTAAATATTACGAGGTTACTTAGTAGTTATGATTTGTGGGATTCTTCGAATATACTTGATTGTCAGAAATGTTTCGAAAGCTTCAATACGTGGTTCCAATGCATCTCTCACTTGGTTGAGCCATCTGTGCTGGAGTTTTGTCGTCTGTGATTCGTGTATTTTTTAAGATTGGAGCAGTTGTTGAAGATTTATTTTTTAGAATTTTACGAGTATCCGGAACACTACTGAAAGCTACCTTAACAGCTCCAGGTTTGCCATTATTTTGTACAGAAGCCCCCAATCTGATACTGTCAAGTGAAATAATGCCAGATCCAGCCCAGCAGTATAAAAACTTTGTACTAAATACCATATTTCACCGATTATAACTAGAAATAGCCACTTACACTTGCACTTTTTAGGTACTGTTCAAGCTAGGTTGTTCAATACTCAAGTTTGAGTACAGAAACCAAGGGTCTACAAGGTCTATAGATTTATACGTATTATAGTGACATAAAACTTGTGAAATTATAGAGCTAGTTACTTTGAAATCTTGAGTGTACTTTAAAACGCGACTCAAAATTTAATGCTTCGTTGCCTATGGTTTAATAATCCGCCTTTGTTTTTAAAATGATGGGCTCTTAGAAGGATATAAATTTATGTAATGAATATTACAGGGAGTTCATTAATTCATTTCTACTAAGTACTAAGTAAAATGAGAGGCCGATTGTAATAGACTTACTTGTCTGGACGAATGATTAATAATAATTGCATATGGTCATAGTGTAAATATATAAGTTTCTCGTTGGCAACGGTGTATCTGATCTGATCTTAAGAGTGCTTCATTTGTTAAAAGTGGTAGTCTTAAAGAATTCGTAAATTAATAATCAGTTATATTTTTTATGATGGCATACCTGAATGTCAAATGGACTATCTAGAATGACAACTAGCAGTGCTGCCAATAATAATTCAGAATTGCGAACACAAAAATTTGTTTTAATTTTATTAATAGTCACCCGATGTAACATTCCCAGTATTAATTTCTTGGATACCACACAGTTTTTATATAAAATTTTGTAGGGTAAGGAAGACTACAAGATCTGTTTTAAATACGTTTAGCTTTCATAATATATTTATATAATTATAAGTTTTATTTCAGGAACTGGTACAATAAAGCAAATATGTCTTTCGTATTAATCATCAAATACTAGGTCCTCTAAGCTGCAGCGCATGTGTAATCGTTATAAATTTGAGCTTGAGGACAAACATTAATAAATGGATACAAAACATCCTTAGCAGTACTGTACTCTTTGCACGTGTAGTACTCCTGCGGCTTATTCTCCAGATGATCACTCTGACTAATCCTCGTACACAATGGAACGGGATAATCGCCTTGCGGGCATACACCATTTGGCAGAATAATGTCGCAAAGTCCGGTACCAATATTGTAGCCAAGTCCTTCTTCACATTGATTGGGGTAGGCTTGCAAGGTGTTTTTTACTTGGACGCATAAAACAAACTTGTTGCAATAAAAAGGATCCGGGAAGATACCTACAGTTTGACAGGGAAACGCCAAATCTGCGATACCATCGCAAATGGGATCTTCTGCGTCAGTGCACGCATTGTTGATACATTTTTCGCCGGAGTCGCAAGTTTGGATGTTCTCTTTTGTATAAGTGTTTCCGTTTTGCATGCATGCCACGAGACTGGTGCAAGTTTCACAGAAAAGTCCAGAAGTAGTACAGTTTTTGGGTGTTTCAGCCGTTTTGGATAGAGCCACGCGGTAGTCCACAAGGTCTTTGGCTTGGCCAAGAGCCAGAAGCTGAAACAGAAAACATGGTTAGTTGGCAAATAATACAGTTCCCTACATATGTATATAGGGAATAATTTGTTATACTTATATCTATAAATATTAAAAATCTATTTGTACTTACCCCAACAATAGCAAGCAACACTTTCATTTTCGGTGACGGTTTATGGTCTGTAAGTTCATCTACTGTGCTTCGATTTTTATATAAATTCGCTTTTTTTAATGTTTGCGGCACGTCGGTGAGATCAAAGTTTGTGTTGCAACCGTTGTCGGTGTAGGTACAACTTTTTGATAATTATTTGAAAAAAATAAGAGCAAAATCATGTTGGTTTGTTCGATAGAGTGTGGTTGTGCAAAATTCTTGCGGTTTTTGTGATGCATAAGATTGAAGAAAAATATGTTGCTGATTATAATCTTAATTATAATTTCTAGAATTGCAAACAATAAGAGATAGCTTTTGCTTTTAAGTTTACTGAACTTTATTGAATGTGAAACGCAGAAAATTTTCATAAAACAGGCTTTAAACATATTCTTATTTGTACTGAGTATGTAGCTTGAGTCCGAAGGGGCTATTACTCAGTACATAACACTGTTGCTAAAATTTGTAACGGCATTTGATTGTAATACTGTAAATAAGTAAATAAGTATGTCTATATTTTTTGTCGCAACGAAAGCTATTATCTCACTTTTTTTTTATTTTCACGTTTCTTGTAGAAATATTGAGTTATTTAAGTAAAGAAACGTGTATTAGTTTTATTTCAATTTTCTCATACTTTTTTTAACACATATAATACAAATTTTGAATTCACCAGACAGAATATTTCAGACTTGTTTTTGAATAAATTTCACTGGTAGTGCTGAGCAGTGGTGAACGAAATATACTAACTATTATTTGATTTGTAAAGAAATAAAAATTGATCGTAGGTTATTTCGATAGATTTTCCCTGGCCCTTGAAGTATAATCCAACAAATCTCATTTCTTAAAAAAAAAATCGTTTTATGATAACCTCTATTAAGTAAAAACCAGCGGCATAAATAACACCCCAGCAGCCCCTGCACCATGGAAGTATAAATTCCGAGAGGGCGCCGCACTTGTATGGACAATGTAATACAGGGTGTCCCAGAATTCGCGCCATTCCCGTGAATGACATGTTCCCTGTCCCGAACTGTGCCGTAATTCGCAAAAAGAATTGTCCAGGCTTTAACCGTGTGAGAACTGGAAGGCGATTAAGTTGACCAATAGAGAGGCTGCTTTTATATCCGAACGTTTCTGGGTTCAAAGTTACCTATGCCAAGGACAAAAAATCCGGTAATACTAAAGTTGAATGAATTTTTTCCGAATCCCCCTCCGTCAACAAAAGGAAACAGAAGTGTGGTTATAAATTTAATCATTTTGACAATTGTTTGTCATAAACTGTCACGAAGTTCATCATTGACCTGAACAGACGCTTCTGCGCCAAAGATGACTGATTAATGTACACTGAGACGTCAAGGTTTATTTTAAGGCAAGTAGCATGGGACAGAAGTTATTTCTGCTGCCATTCTAGTTAAATTGTGTTTAACTAGGCTGTACATGCCATAAAAGAAGCTGTTTCATTTCATCGTAGGCAAATAATACATTTATTACTATTCTACATAGTGTAGATATCGAAGAGCAGGTATTAGAAGTCATTTTCTTAGAGCCCCGTGAATAATATGTTGTTCTTTTTAACGAAAAGTAGTGCATTTTCAGAATTCACTATGCATCATATCCCTGATATTAAGTTTATCGTTATTTCTAAAAAAGAGTACCACATGTCCATTCAAAGAACGTTATTAAGTGTACTAAAACATAAATATCGCTTTTGGTTAATCGGTGCTTATGATTTTCAATAAACAGTATCAATTTTTACCGAACAGCTTTGTTGCTGATACCTAATCTAAGCAACGAAAAAAGAGACGAGACTCCACTTCTCTGGTGTATTGAAATCATAGGTATCTGCTGTGGTGTCAATCATGTGGGGGAGATACTGAAAACGGAGACTTATTCAAGAATAATATTGATGTTGCACATGATGATTTAAAACAGTTTCTTTAAAGTTGTGAGTACTTTCTAGAGATTGAAAAGAAACGAATAAAAAATGTGACAAAAATCGTTTAGTTGCATTTTTTGTTTTAAGAACAATACAAACTATAAACAAATCAGTACCAATACCACTAAGATATTGATGTCTTAGTCATACTAGTACCTATAAAGAATATTTGGAAATGATGTTAATTTATGGAGAATGTAAACGCTCTGCAGCCACTGCTGTGGGCGAATATACAGGTCTTTTCCCCAACCATCGGCTCCTTGACTAGCATGTGTTTCGTCGTTTGTTGCATCCAGCAAAAGAAGATGGATCTTTTTAGCCTATTCGGAAAGGCCTTTCTGGGGCTACACGGATTATTATTATTATCCACATTTCGCTAACGTGAGAGCATATCAAGAGCAATACTATTAATCTATGGGCTGGAATCGGGTAGTCGGTTGGTCCCAGATGCTGCACTCTCGTGTAATGGTAAGGATGCAGTCTTCTCTCTTGAAGGATACGATGAGTAGTCGATCTTGAGCATCCACTCATTTGCTCTACGCAGCGGACACTTCTCCTAGGATCCGCTTCCATCAATATTATTCTTGAATAAGTCTCCGTTTTCAGTATCTCCCCCACATGATTGACACCACAGCAGATGCCTATGATTTCAATACACCAGAGAAGTGGAGTCTCGTCTCTTTTTTCGTTGCTTGGATTAGGTATCAGCAACAAAGCTGTTCGGTAAAAATTGATACTGTTTATTGAAAATCATAAGCACCGATTAATCAAAAGCGATATTTATGTTTTAGTACACTTAATAACGTTCTTTGAATGGACATGTGGTACTCTTTTTTTAGAAATAACAATAAACTTAATATCAGGGATATGATGCATAGTGAATTCTGAAAATGCACTACTTTTCGTTAAAAAGAACAACACATTATTCACGGGGCTCTAAGAAAATGACTTCTAATACCTGCTCTTCGATATCTACACTATGTAGAATAGTAATAAATGTATTATTTGCCTACGATGAAATGAAACAGCTTCTTTTATGGCATGTACAGCCCAGTTAAACACAATTTAACTAGAATGGCAGCAGAAATAACTTCTGTCCCATGCTACTTGCCTTAAAGTAAACCTTGACGTCTCTGTGTACATTAATCAGTCATCTTTGGCGCAGAAGCGTCTGTTCAGGTCAGTGATGAACTTCGTGACAGTTTATGACAAACAATTGTCAAAATGATTAAATTTATAACCACACTTCTGTTTCCTTTTGTTGACGGAGGGGGATTCGGAAAAAATTCATTCAACTTTAGTATTGCCGGATTTTTTGTTCTTGGCATAGGTAACTTTGAACATAGAAACGTTCGGATATAAAAGCAGCTTCTCTATTGGTCAACTTAATCGCCTTCCAGTTCTCACACGGTTAAAGCCTGGACAATTCTTTTTGCGAATTACGGCACAGTTCGGGACAGGGAACATGTCATTCACGGGAATGGCGCGAATTCTGGGACACCCTGTATACTTATATATTGAAAGCAGAAAACTGGCGCGAAAACTGTTCTCTCAGCAATAATAACAACTTTAACTAAGGGTGTTTATGTTTATACATGGAAAAAATATGACGTCAAAATTTGTTTGATTTGAATATGTTTTCCTTTTCAAAACAGAAGACTAAAATTATTAATTAACAATCGAACAAAAATAATTCTTATTTTATCATTATTAAATACTCTAACATTTTTGAGAAAATGGGGTGTTCGTTCTTAATATATTCAATAAAAAATATGTAATGACGTCATTAATATAGATAATACTGGTCACAAAACAAAAGAAAAAACGGCCAGGTTGCTGCTAACACGTACTTTAACCAAAAAAAAAAGTTATACTCTGTTAATTTTGTTCGAATATTTCGACGTTTAAGGAAAAGTTTCAAAGTTTCTAATAAAAATCGACAGACGGACGGACAGACGGAGAGACAGACGACAGACAGCCGGAAACGGGAGACCATTTTTTTGTATTATATGAAACTGGAAAATCGCCCGATGGACTCGATTACATACCTACTTTTTTAGTTTACTCAAGGAAACTTGGTATGTGACACACGTCTGGAAAATTTAGATTTTTAAATTTATTTGTTGTATTTTCAGTAAGTAAGTACTGCTGCTTTTAATATGTTTCAGAATTAAACTTTTACTTGTTTCTGTTATTTTCTTTCATTCTTTATAATTTCGAAACGTCAAAAAAAATCCGACGAATTTAAGTTTATATGTTTATCGGTACAGAGGCATATACATATACATATTAAATAAATAATTTATTAAAAACGAAAATTGACACCTTACAAGAAAAATCTAAAAACGTAAGCTATACATAAAAGCAAAATTACAGTTCTTCCATCTGAAACTGAAACCGTTGAATTACAGTCGTCGCTTTTGCAAAAACTACATGACGTTTTCTTGCCACCGATTTCAGCAACTAATTCCTCCATATACGTGCACACATCTTCATCGAAAACTTGTTTCGGTACACAACTTTTCAGAGCTCGTTCCTGCGGAGACTGTTTATCTAAAAAACTAGCACTGATTTTTTTGTTGTCTGAAGGCGTAACATACTACCATGTTCAAATGTCAAAGTTATACAGCCAACTTCAGTTCCAGATTCTATTGCTCCCACTTCACTATCAAATTTTTCTAGAAGATCTGGTTGAGAAGTTCTTTGAATCAGACTTTGACCCTCCACTTTGAATGTGGTGCAGTCCATTTTCAGAAAATCGGTTCTGTTATTAGCAACACAATCGACTTTCGGACCAGCACATGCAAAACATGATTGTGCATCACACAGCACTAAAGTTTAAAAACACGTTATTGGTCCCTGTATTTCCAGTTTTTATTAAAATAAAGCGTTCCTTCCAAATGATTTACAAACCATGTTTTTAGTGATTTTTTTATTTGAAAAAGTGGTATGTCAACCGTTAATATACAGTACCTACGTTATCTTATTTTTATGTTTTATCGTTTTATGACCTTTTTATCTAAATACTGTCTTGTATCTGGTTGTATGGTAGTATGCTGCACCTCAACGTGGTTTTAAATCATTTAAAAGTATGCATTGCGTGTTTTAACACATTGTCTAATTACCTGACTCAAAAAGCACTGCTGAGTACAATATACTATAAATAAACACTAGTAGAGACATTTTTGTCTCAAACAATGAAACGCAACTTTTCGCTAGTTTTAATACTATAACTACCATTATTATATTATTTCACCTTGGTAATACTCTTGCCTACTATTTGTTTATCTTATCTAAAGTGAGTTCCTTACTTTTTCCATAAATAACAAATTCGAGAAAAAACTTGGTAATTTTCAAAACTGTCTGCTATCTTGTTTAAATACATTTCATGTTACGAGTATATCCGCCTGAAGTAGATTGTATCTATTGCGTATTATGCGTCTGTTAATCACTCATATGTAAGTACGTATGATAGCTTTTAGGAAGTGATGATTCAGTTAGTGTTAATAATACCGGAAGTTAAAGGTAATGGTATATACGTGACTGGGAGCAAGTTGCCTATGATTTTTTACGCGTAACGTAATAGTTCTAATTAAAATTATGCAAGGAAGATGATTTAATAAAAGTAACGAGTTTATAATGCAATGCAATGACATCATTCTAGAAGAGAGGAATCAATAAATTTTAATAGTTGTAATCAAAAAGCTATTGTTAGCATTTTGGCAAAATTTCAAAAAATTCTCCTGGTAAAAGTAGTTTCTAGGGTTAAGTGTAATGCTTACAATATAAATGTTAAGCGAGATTTACTTAGTAAAATTTTGAGATGACGTCATCAAGTTTTTAGAAGGAATGGCCAAATGATTTTTGATTATTGATTCATATATTCATGAAAACCACTTTTGCACTTATAAGTAAAATATAAATTATAAAATTATTTGTATAATTTGGTTCATTTATTTAAATGTACAAAACATCAACAAAATTAAACATTCAGATACTATTTTCTATCTGTCAACCTTTTTTCTAATCAGCCGTTAAGGGCGTTAAAGTATCACTTCCAGTCCCTTCAACAAACGGGCTGAGGTCCGCGGCGTGATAGCGTCCAATTCTTTCTGGAGGATTTGTACAGCTTCCTAACTCGTAGGTTGTAGGAGAAGCAATTCTCAAGATCATATAAGGACCATCCCTTTTTGGGGCAAGCTTTGAAGAGAATCCACTTTTCGAGCTACTGAGAGTATGAGATTTCAGGAAAACCTTGTCACCCTTCTTGAATACAGCTGGTCGTCGTCTGGAATCTAGGCGGTTTTTCTGGACATCGTGTTTCTTGCAATTTCTATCCATTGCCTCAGACAGAGTAGTAGCTAGCTTCTTTAAGTAAGGAGTCATTCTTGGTATGAAATTTTCTGCATCAATCACTTTGTGTAGATCATATACAGGATCATAAGGAGCTCGCATCTTCCTACCCAATGTGAGAAACGAAGGACTATATCCCGTAGAGTCGCAACATGTAGAATTTATGGCGAATCGAATGCTGCTCAGGTGATGATCCCATTCTGAGTGGTGATCTTGAACCAAAATGGCTACTTGAGTCTTCAATTCGCGGTTCTTCCGTTCAACAGGGTTATTCTCTGCATGATACAAAGGAATGAACGGAGTTGTGATACCAAAACAATAAGTAATTTGCTGCATTACATCACTGATAAATTGTACGCCGTTATCAGAAATCATTTTCCTCGGAGTTCCAAACCAAATTCAGAGTCAGCTTTTACTAATGGGAAAAGTTCTACCTATTTTGAAGCAACATCCTCAATTATTAGAATCCATCGATTCCCCCTGGGAGTTGCCGGTAGAGGGCCAAATAGATCTACAGCCACAACTTCGAATCTATGAGAAGGGGCTGGGGTTTGAAGTATGCCCGCAGGTTGACGATTCTCTGGTTTATATCTCCGGCATTCCATACAACCTTTTACATGGCGAGCAATATATTTTCTCATATCTGTAAAGTAAAATTTTGAAGAGATCTTTTGAAGGGTTCTTTCGATGTCGTAGTGTCCCCCTGTAGGCGAATTATGGTATTGGGCCAAAACATCTTCACGCAATTCTTTGGGAATCACAAACTGGGGATTTTTAGAGTCCAGATATGGGTTGAAACGGAAGAGAACACCATTGTTCATCACGTATCTCCTCCCAGACCATCTAGACATCTCTAACGGATCTTCACCTTCGAGAGATAATATAGTAATGTTGATCTCATCATCTTCCATTTGTTTCTGTCGCATAAATTTAGCATCCTATGACGGTAGGTCAACACTAACGAAGTAGCTCTATACCTTTTCTTCTTCATCCGAGCAAAAAGGTCGAGACAACAGATCAGCTACTACGTGCCTTGAAGGCGGAGCGCCCAACGAGCCAAACGACCCGAAGGTGATTTTAAAGTCAGCAACCACCGTAAGGGTTGATGATCCGACGCTAGAACCACTTTCGCACCTTCTAGATAATGTCGAAATTTTTCTACAGCCCATACTACGGCGAGCGCCTCTCTTTCGGTAGTTGAATAATTTTTCTCGCTGTCCTTTAACAAGCGACTAGCGTATTCAATAAGATGTTCGTCGTATTTCTCCCCCTAGAGTAGAACTGCACCCAAGGCGTAACAACTTGCATCTGTTCTAAGGATATACGGCTTGGTTTGGTCGGCTTGAGCAAGGACTGGAGCGGTAGTCAGTCTCTCTTTTAACGTCTCGAAGGCTCTTAATTCGGCTTCACCAAACTGGAAAGACGCATTTTTCTTAAGAAGATTACTTAAGGGATGTGCAATTTCGGAAAACTCTGAAACAAACTTGCGATACCAACTACATGTCTGAATGAAACTTTGCAGCCGTTTGCGATTGCTTGGAGGTCTCAACAGTTTGATAGCAGCTATTTTGTCAGAGTTAGTTTTAATTCCATCACTGGTCAGTATATGTCCGAGAAATTTGACCGAGTTAGAGAAGAACGAGCACTTCTCACGTCTAGCACGAAGACCAAAAAGTTTTAAACCCGAAAACACTGTTTGTAAGTCTATTATGTGCTTCTCGAAGATTGCTGAAAGTACCAAGATGTCGTCTATATATACGAACACTGCAGTGTCATTCAAACCGGATCTAAATCTGTCCATCAATCGAACGAATGTCGCCGGCGCGTTCCTCAAGCCGACAGGTATTCGATTGAATTTAAACGTCCTAAGTGGAGTCACAAAGCAAGTTTTGCCACGATCTTCTTCAGCAATAGGAACTTGCCAGTAACCTGCTTGTAAATCTATTGTAGACATGAATGGTGTATGTTTAGCGGTGTGAAGAATATCGTTTATTCGCGGCATTGGATAACTATCGCTTACCGTTACTGAGTTTAGCTTACGATAATCTACGCAAAGACGATAGGTGTCTCTTTTGGAGTTAAAACCACAGGGCTGGACCATGATGACTCGCACTCTTCTATAATTCCTTGTGCTATTAATCGATTCAATTCTTCACGCAGGAATTGCTTCTTTGGTCCGTTCAGCGGGTACGGTGGTACGGAGATTGGTACAGCATTTTGTGTGTTAATTCGATGCGTAGCAAATGTAGTTTCTCCCCCTTGTTCGAAGATGGTGTTATTCTTCTGAAGTAGGGTGTTTATTTCATCTTTTGCCGTGTCTTTAATCTTCTGAGCTTCATTTTGGCGTAGGGTTATGAGATTAATGTTTACGGAGTTTGTTTTAATTCCATATTTGAAAGTATGTTCTGGTTTATCTCTAAAAAAACAACACTCGTTTTGGAAATCTATACCAAAGTTAGCCTTCTTCAAGAATTCCCGCCCTAAGAGCGTATGGTTCTGGGTTAAATACGGCATTATAACTAAACTAGTTGGAGTTATTTTGTCTTTTATCTTAACGTCTACATTTGTTACCAGTAGTTTCTTATCTCTAGGAATTTCGTCAGCTAATGTTACCACTGCATCCATTGTTTCAAACTTAACTCCCTTATCTTGTAGCACCTTATAGAGGGTGTGACCAGCTATGTTCCATTTTGATCCTGAATCGGCGGGTCTAATTCCTTTTGCACCTTTGACTTCTAAGGGTAGGATTGGAGCGTCGCAGCTTAATTCATGTTCTAAAGATAGCCGTGAGAATTCAAAGAAGTTAGTTTTGACGTCTTGCTTTTTCTTTGCATTTTGGGCAGTTCCATCTGTAGTAGCCAGGAGTACCACAGCCATAACACTCAAGTTTTGATCTTCCTGATGTTGACTTTGACAGTTCTTTATCATCGTTTTCTTTTTAGAGTTGGCGACATTCATTCTTTAAGTGACCAAATTTTTTGCAATGTTCACAACGAGGTCGAAACTTCTTTATTTGCATTCCGTCCTGGTTTGTGTTTCTTTCTTGTTTGCGAAACGCGGATTTACGAAACGATTGCTCTATTTCGCGGGCACAATTAAGCAACTCTTTGAAAGAGTTTATTTCACTACGCGCAAGTCTCTTTCGAATCTTCAGAGCTAAAAGTCCATAAACCATATCCAGCTGCATTTCTTTTGCGACACTATATGGCAATTGTGCGACTAAAGCCCGAAATTTCGCAACGAAGATATCAGTGGCTTCGTGTTGTGTTTGCTCACGAGCAAAGAGTTCTCGGAAGACTGCATGAGGGGGTAATTTCTTCGAATACACTTCTCTGAGGATATTTACTGCACTCTACCAGTCTTTCGTCGACGGTTTGATTCCTTGCCACCAAGTAGCAGCGTAGACTCGAGCAACATTGAAAGACCACGCAGTGCATTTTCGTCACTGATATTGGTGCAGTCTTTATAAGTTACGATGTTGTCTAGAAAAGCTTCTACATCGGCGTCATCTGACCCATTAAATCTGGCACTACATTTAGCAAAACTACCTTCAGATCGAGTGTAAGAAGTTGGTGATACGCTTCGTCGTGCCTCGGACTGTTGTGTAGTTGCAGTTTGGTCCTTAAATGTCGATAGTAGTTGCTTAAATTGGTCAGCCGATAGAGTAACTGAAGCTGGAATATTAAGTTTCGGCAGCATCATGGAATTTTGCACACAATTAACCGCGAATGTACACTGGGGTGCTTCGGGTCACTAGGGGGGCGCCAATTATAATTTGGTTCATTTATTTAAATGTACAAAACATCAACAAAATTAAACATTCAGATACTATTTTCTATCTGTCAACCTTTTTTCTAATCAGCCCACTCTTCTTTTTTAATCAAAACTAAGTTCCGTTACATTTGTAAAAAAAGTAAGAGTGGATTAAGTCGTTGATATGGAAGTAGTACCTACATCATCAAATGTTTGTTGAGGATTATCGAATAAATTTTGGTTAGGGCTTTGTACACGATATTTGTAAAATGATTAAAATTTCACAGTAATCAGTGTAATAGTTTCTAAAATTATCTGTTCAATAGAATCACCAAGGAATGACTAATTTTTACTTCGAAATGCTATTTTAATATTTCTCGTCTGTCTATTGTCTGCTGAGTTAAACACTGGCCCAAATTTCTTGCAGAATTAAATTTGTTGTATGTTTCACAGGTCATAGTTTCATACATACACGCTGTAAATGTAACAATTATAGTGGTAATTAGCACATTTTTGAAAATCTCCACCTTTCGATCTTTCTCCTGTTAAAAGCAGAAACTTATAGTAGCTCAAAGGACTTTTTACGTGCAAACGTGCCTTTCACCTTACTGAAGTTTAACCTACGATAAAACAACTACGTATTTTCACATTTTATTCCATTACAAATAAAAAAAGCATTTGTAGAAAGCAATCTCCGCTATATTTAAATATACCAGAATATTTAAATTATTTTGAAAATTTCCACTTTAAAAACGGTGCAGTCAATTTGTTGACCTGTATTTAATTTGCCAGAAAAAGTATTTAGTGAGGACCACCACCACCTCCCTTGGGACCGCCACCTCCAAACTTGGCACTAAAAGTATCATCAACTCGAAAACTTTTCGGTCCGGTTGGTCCACCTTGTGGTACTCCCTGTGGAGGTTGAGACTGTTGAGGTGCAGCCTCCGACCCCATCTGAATTTCAAAACATGTTTTTAGTTTTTAACAATAATTGAATCTATAAGCATTCCAACTCACCACAAATATACCTAACACCACAAAACCGAAAACCAGCGAGAATTTCATCGTGACAATTTCCAGTAGTTTTAAAGTGTGGCTTTTATATAGACGATTTTGAACGGCGTAGTATGATTCAGGTAATTATCATTATGAATATCCACTGACGCTGGAGCAATTGCCGACCATTATTATTATAATTTTAGACATAGAAATTTCCTGCGTGGGGACAAATGGATTTGTAATAACACTAATTTAACAGGTTGCATATGATCGCAACCTTCAACCTTGTTTTTTGGCTAAATAATCGCGTGTTTACAGAGGTGCTAGCGATACGTAAATGTTTCACTGACTTACATAATTATTATTTACTACAAAAATGTGCATTTAAATTCAAGTGCTTAACAAGGTTTTTTAGGTTTGTAAACATGCAAAAACTGCGCGCTTAAAATAGCAGAATCGCTGATTTTGTAACAAAATTCATATTTTTATATGGACCCCGCCCATCGAGCCTATTTCAAATGTGACGTTTTTCTAAATCGTCATCAGTCGGGGGCGGAGCTTAATTGCAAAATCCTTATTTTTCTACAAGAAATTACCAACTGAAACATGTTTTAATCGTGTTGTTTATAGAATACTGTATGTATTAATTAGAAATGAAAGCCAAAGATTAAGCTTCACTTATAGCCGCTCGGATTTCAATTATGATGAATATTGCATTCGTTATCAGAGTGGGGGAAGGAGCTTAATTTCAAAATCGAGATTTCTCTACAAAAATTTACCATTTTGAACATGTTTTAAGTATTTTGTAATGAAAACAAAACCGTATAATAATAATAAAAAGGAAAATATAAGCCCCGCCCACCCACCCTATCTCAAATGTGACATTTTTTTAAATAATCGTGAGTCGGGTGGGGGGAGACCTTATTGCAAAATCCTTATTTTTCTACAAGAAATTACTATCTGAATCATGTGTTTAAATAATCGTGTTGTTTAAAGAAAACTGTATGTATTAAGTAAAAAGAACGCCAAAGATTAAGCCTCACCTATTATAACCAGAGTGAGCGGGGAGCTTAATTTCAAAATCGATATTTGTCAATAAGAATTTATCATTTTAAACACGTTGCAAGTATTTTGTTATGAAAAGAAGAACGTATATTAAGAAAATAAAGGCCAAAAAATCTTAAATCTATAAATAGTTGATTTTGTAACTGTTCTCAAGGTACCATCCTAAAGTATTTCATCTCGACAATTAGGCGCTGAAGTTGAGCAAAAACTGACTAAAACAGTTTCGATTTGAACTTTTTTCTTCTTGTAATAAAATCCATCGGATGACCGTCTATTTTCATGTTTTCTCGACGTGTCATGACCCCTAGAGTACGAAAAGCCCCTTATTCTGTCTGTCTGTTTGTTATCTGTCGGTCGTCTGTCGTGTATCGTTCATGTCAATTTTTATTAGAGAGATAATTTCCGAAACTACTTGACTGATTGTTGTCAAATTTTACTTATCGTGTAGATAGTAATTAGTAATACGTTAATCTTTATGACATCAGCTCAACATTTTGAGCAGTAAAGGATATTTTAAATTTTATAAAATAATGTATTCCTGCGGTGGTGTATTGCGAATCCACGTTGTTTTTTTTTTACTATTATAATTTTATTGTTTAATCCGTCGTCTACTTTAGATACATAATACGAACTTCAAGTTATTTTGTAAATTCCATACTTGAGATGTGTGTACATACATACTATGTATATTGACATAGAATTTGGAACATTTTATTGTTGTTATTTTTTTTATTGCTATAATCAATAAGTCTCGTGACTCCTTAACGTTTCATAAGTTTGATTCTGTGAGAAAAAGAAAATTAAAAATGAACAAACAAATAAGTGAAGCTCAAAGAACCGAAAAGTTGTGTCAATATGCACAGAAATACACATTGGATTGGGCACATAATTAATCAGCCTTCATACCATTACAGGATCTCTAACGCAGCCTAAGCGAGCAACACCTCTCATTACCCTAGCCTGACAAGTGGTGTTAAAGTAGGTTTTAGGACAAGGGCACTTGGCTAGGAGAGACAAGTTTGGTGTATACAAATATATGATAAACGTGTTATTTTCAACCACTTGCAATTATATGGTCTTGAATTTGTTTTACTTACTCATAATGAATAAAATAAACAATAAAACATGTAATACACATGGATTTCCTTATCTTTGTTGAAATAAGTCAATAATCTAACATCTGTCTCCTATATTCATTTTGGGTATTTATTACAAAATGTGTATTATATTTCACCGTGACGTTCCTCAATAGCCAGTTACAATTGAAGGAATTTATGTAACATGATTCAAGTCTTTTAAATATGATTTTCGGTAACTGTAGCTTGTCCACAAATTTAACGTAATGAATACATATCAACATTAATAATAATGTAGGTATAGTGCCAAATAGCTTAATTGAGAATTAGAAATTTTTGCATTTAAATATTGTTCTTAAGTTTTTTTTTTAGTCTGATCCTGTCACTCAGAGTACGTTAGCATAAGTAGATCAGAGTAGCCTAGGTAAGTTTTCAGGCCTAGGCTTAACTAACTCTAAACACTGAAATATTTAGCTAAAAATAACTCAACGTGGTTTATAGTCTTTCAAGAATTCATTAACAGAATGTACTGATGACAAGAATTAAGTACTTCAGCGGTTTTATTTCCGCTAAAAACGCCTTATTTGGCTGATTGATAATGAACGCGTGTTCTAAGAACCGATTTTAATACTATTTGAACTACATTCCCTAGCTTCTCAGGCGAATCTTTGATTTTTACAAAAATTCAGTCATTTGTTCCTCTTGTTTTTAGTTCCACTGTGACAATTTCTAAAACTACGTCCTGGAATTTTTGAACTGTCGTTATTGAATGGTGAACGTTTCAACACTTTCGTCATTCTTGTTATCAGTGTTATCTTCTACGGAAATGAAATTTAAAAAATTCCGATTACAGTTTGCCACAGAAATAGTTTTGTCTTTGACTCATACACATTGCTTTATCGATCCCGCAAATATCCACGCTTACACAGGAGTGTGATATTGTTTTTAAACTGACTTTTGCCTATGTTATTTTATTATTTGCTTTTGATTACTGATAATAATTACTGGAAGAGGAGAGCCGGCCACACTCACTTTAGAAGTGAAGTTAAATGTTAATGCAAGCATAATGATGTTGGTACAATTACAGATCCATTGTTTATTTTTGTCATCTCGAGTTGCATTAATTACATTGAAATTCTAATTACTTAATAATATTTTATGTTACATGTAAAAACACAAAATGTAACCAACAAATAAAGTAATTATGGATACTGCTACTGAAGAACTTCCATTAGCTTTGTTGCACCCATCTTCGTAACACTGCTGGTGACATTCAATGAGTCCTCCAACGGCGTAGTTACAGCCGTGTGTTTGTCTTTGAGCACAACCTCTGTATATTCCTTCAGGACTACCCGACTCTTTGTCGTTGGCTAAAAACAAAATTGTTAAAACCAAAGTCGCTGTACCTATAGTTACGTACGGGTAAAGTAGATAGTGAAGCACTCTGTTTGATTAGTTGTACTTGCGTCAAATTGAATTAGGCCCTTTCCTTTTTGAACACTTGTTGTTTCACAATCTGTGATCTTAACGTTGTTCTCTTCTGGATTCCTACACCCATTAGTTTCCCTGGGATCGCAGTCGTAGCATCGTAAAGATAGTGCTAAAAACCCTCTTTGTTAAAATATATGAACAATCGCGCTACTCAACAAGCAGACTTTTGCAGCCTGCGTAGTATTTATTACATGTGTTTTTTAGATTGAATACGGTTTTAAAATTTCAATAATTTTATTTCAAACACGGATATATTTGTATTTTAAGTACATACCCACTCCACACAAAGATATGAAAAGTAGTATCTTCATCATCGTGACGGCTCACTGGTTAAACTTCAACTCTCTGCAAACTGTCTGTGAAAGCAAAACCTTGGTAGGAAAGGTTGCTTTATCAGTCTTATCTAATTCCGGAAAAATGGGGCACTATTTACTTAGTTTTTCACAGACTTGTATTGATACGAGTGTAAAACTAACGGATCTGACAAATCCTGAGCGTTTGTGCGAAAATAAAACTGACTTTCGTGGTGAATCAGATTCTTGGATTTTATTTGATTACCGCAAGTTTTGTTTAATTTAATAATAATTTATGTAAACTGTACTAACATCACTTCCATCTAGTAGTAATATACAGTTTCAAATTTACGCACTGTTTGAATTAAAATAACAAAAAATTATTCTGTTGCAACAAATGTTGTATATGTACGCTTGTCAAGATCTTTCTGGATAAGGGTTGGCTATAGAAATTTGGCAGGTTTTTATTTAAAAACAGCTTTAAAAATGAAGTTATAATTCCATCATTCAGTGTGACGACTGTAGAAGGTGCGTTGCTGTTAATGAATTTTTATTGCTGTGTTTAAAATCATAGATAAATGTATTGTTAATATATGGAGATACAACAAATCTAAAGCTTGTCAGCATGAATAAACAAAGCAAATGGTTAGAATTTTTAGAGTTAGTAGCTAACTTGCTTCTTCCAATTTTACTTTTTTGCTTATTAATTTTACTATAAATCTGGAGCCTTAAACATTTGATTGCGTGATGTTGCTGATTAATAAATCGGGGGTGGCTCTCCATAAATTTCCAGCTGAATACAGCGACTAGACGCACGGTTTCCATGGCAACGGTGTAAACAAAACGTTTAAATTACGCATGATTTGGTCTCCGCTTTTATTAGCACTTTTGCAACGTATCATATATCCAAGACACAACATCTTTAGGTGTAAGTTTTGATACATTTTAAACAAATGGAGCGAGATAAAAAAAATCGTTTTGATAATTATGATACAAATTTCCGTATAATTTTTTAAATATTGAAAATTACTATTTTGCTATGTCCAGTGTGTTTGTAGACGTTGTAATTTTGGGGGGGCACGTGCCATTGTGACCCCTGGCACCAACCGCCCCTGATTGAAAGTCAACTATACAAAATATTAACAGAACATAATAATAGGGATGTACGTATTCAACTTTAAACATAACATAACTCTCATAAGCTCAGTTCTCTATTTTCCGTTTCCAATATTTCACTGGAAGAATCTAAATCATTATCCAGGTCATCGGGCAGAGTTACTTTTTCAGTATGTTTACAAAAATTTTGCATTTTTCAAGAGTACATATAGAAATGACTTCAAGCAATTTTCTCCTTATCCGGAGATTTAGGGTTCTCTAAACCTTCATATAGCATCCTTCTAGCAATTACTCATTTTGTCATTTACCCGTTTCATTCTTAAAATTTGGTCAGTCCTTATTTTGTTATGACAAGTAAACTTCGAGTCTAAAATGCCAAAAGTCTGTGCAAGTGTCCACGGCTGAATAAAAAATATCCCGAACTAGTGTTAGATGAAAATTCTCAATCTGTATTTTGCAGAGTGTGCTGTAAGGTATGCAGATTTTTATCATTTCTATATTTTTGAATTTGTCACATTTTTAGCACTGGTAGATTCTATTCAGATAATAACAAATTGTTTCCAAAAACTATCCATTATTCAACGTAAAATAGGTGAAACAGTTTTTTTAGAAATTTAATAAGTCTGTTTAATAAAAAAAATTAGGTTTTAATACCTTGTTGCTTGTGAGTAAAATTTTGCAGGGAGAATTTGAAAATGTGGATGTAGATCCAGATATAATAGAGAATTTAAAATTTGCTCCAATAACCTCTGTCGATGTTGAACGATCGCTTTCAGTGTTAAAACAAGTGTTATGTGGCAAGCGTTAATCATTTCTAATAGAAAATTTTGAAAAACATTTAATAATCAATTGGTTTAATAAAAAATATAGCAAAAATACAAATGCTCCGTAAACAACATTTTCTTACATACTTAATTTAGTTATTTGAATTCTTCAGTGCAAATAAACGTAAGACTTTTACTTTAACAATAATTAATTAAAAATGTTGTATATTTTTAGTAAAGTGGTGCATATATTCAGATTTGAAAAGTAATTCCAGCAACATATACTCCACTCAATGCAAAATATTGCTGAAAAAGTTTGAAGGTAAAAATTAAATTATTTAAAACGATAAAGCGAATTATACGAGTACTTAAGCTCTAAAAAAATCATTACTTATTGTAAATAAAGAGACAAAATTCTTATCACTCCATAACTTTCGCAAGTGGTTATCTTATTATCGATTGAACGTGTACAAACTGTTTGAATAAAAATGTAAACTTTAAGTGATATTTCATCACATTCCAAATATATTTCGTTTATCTCGTTTAGGAGTCCTGATGACGTACCAAGTCTTGTTTCACTTAACAGCAAAAATCTCGAGCCGGCGTTTATAAAATAATGTCTTTTTGCGCAAATGTTGGTGCTTTCTTAGGATATATATATATACAAACACCTAGAAACTAAAATCCATTTATTGCCAACTGAAACCGTGTGACATTTAAGGAAATTCTACATTTTCAACTTCACTTTTATCCATGAGGACCGTGGCCACGACCGCCTCCTCCTCCGCCGAATCCTACAGCATCAGCAGAAGTTTTAATTCCTTTTTGGAATGCAACGGGTCTTCCCAGCGTTGGACCGCCCTGAGGTTGTCCTGGCGGCGGAGGCTGTTGCTGAGCTTCCGCAAAGAACTAAAAGTCAGGATGTAACACCACTTGCTACTTTTGTATCTTTAGACTTACCAACAGCGTGGTTAATACCACTAAACTGCAGAATAGTAGCTTATTCATGACTATGAATAGTAATATGTTTCGTTGTAATTTTTATAGATTAGTTTGCAACGGCTTAGTGCACACCGTCTCTATAATTTTTTCGTAATTTCATGTTGTGTGTGTGCGTTTCAAGAATTTCACACCAGGACATCGATTTTGGTGTTATTATCCCATTAAATGTTTTTCTGTTGGCTATAGACTGTGACGATATAATGTGTAGGCAGGGCTGGGCTTAATATTACGCGTTATGAAAAAGATTAGTCAAGGTTTCCTCTTGCTAAGGTTATAACTTATAACAAAACAAAATTTTCAAAATTAACTGCAGGTTTTTTTTATTATTAAAAATTGGATTAAAATGATGTGCCTTTATTTCCTCATTTGTCACTTTCGTCTTTTTTACACTGCGACTGGTATTATTTGTATTTTTTGGATAAAATATCGTAAAATCATATTTTAGCATTTTTCAAAGAAGTTGAAGTTCTACCTAAATAACTTTATACCAATTTTTCAATTTTTTATACATTCCTAATCCGGTCCTGCGTGTAAGCACGTATCTCTAAACTATGAGCGGAAGCTGGTCTGTCCACCAAGACAGCTGTTGTCCTTGTTTATCATGATAGATGGAAAATTTTATAAATTTAATACATCCATTATCAGCATTTGGTGTTGATATAGGTATTGCTGACAGCTTTCTTTCATCAGATATATCACTACCCTTTCTGTAACTTTAGTAACAGTTTAAGTGGTATCATGGTTCAAATACCATAAATGTCAGTAACATTATTATACCCGAAATAATTTAGGTCCTAATATAGGAACTTTGTAGGTGACCTACGTACTGGCAACGCATTTGAATTTGACATTATGTAGCAAGCGAAAGTAAACAAAAACAATAAGAAGTAGTTTATCCAACACTTCTGTATTATTGTGTCATACCTATAATATAAATTAGATGGGCCATAACTCACTACCTAAAATGAAAACATAAATTAATTATGCCAAGACTATGTCTTCACTGATGCCAGAAACACGTTCCTCGTTTTTCCATTCTTTGAATAACTCGTGTTCTCTTTTTTTTTCGACTTCTCCGGAATTAATTTCCCACAGTAGGTGGACTACTTTTTTTTCGCGTGACTTATTTGTAATTGAACACACTTGTACCATAAATAACTATTATTTAATAACTTTTAATCAGGTTCAACTTAATTTAGTCCATATATTTACTTAAAGATTTAATGATATTTCACACTTTTTTATTCAGTATGCTAGATAGATATTGATCGGATGAGGTTGAATTTACTCAACTTAATATTTGTTTTTATTTCTCTTAATAACTTGTCGGACATGAAAACATTGGTTTTTTCTCTTCCTGCCTGTCTGCTGGCGATTTTACTTCGTGGATAATCTCCGAAACAATACAAATGACTAGTTGATAAAGTGTTTTAAAATTTACCATACAAAAATATATTCATTCATCACCTCCTGAAATTTAATGCCGTCACTTTCAAGGAAGTTAATTAAAACATGTAATGCACATTCGATGAATTAATAGAACGATTTTTAGATAATTACAATAAAAGTGACTTATCTGACTTTCCAAAAAGTCTACGAACTCGATAGCGTTATTGTTATTGTTACTTTGTAGGTATTAAAATCAATATTTTCGTCCCCATTAAAGATTGATTACTTTTGGTGATCTGAACTTCTGGGGTAAGCCCAAGAAATGCTACTGAAACATGTGTGTGTGCAACTACTAAAAGCCAAAAAATTATGAAGAAAATATCACTAAATCCATATTGGATATTATGTTTTACTTGTAGTCCCGTAGTAAACTCCGGATATATCTGAAATTTCACAGTAATCAATCCAGTAGTTTTGGAGATTATCTGTCCAATAAAATCGCCAACAGCCAAACAACAGATGATACTGACGGAAATAACAGGAGATTGATATTTCCCTATTCTATAGGCTTATTTTCGGAAAGTAACAAGCAATGTTGTTATTTTAATTACATAATTTTATAATCATACTTTGCCTTAACATTAGTTAGGTAAACGTAGAGTGCTGTTTGAAATAAAAAAATATATACACTTAAAAATTATATTATCTTTAATTAACAAAATGACATAAAAAAACAGCTAAAAATTTCTCAGAACAAATACTCTAATACTTACCTACTTTTACCTATACCTAAATTACATGACGCGATACAAATTCTGACGATAAAGATGACTGACAAATAATTTACGCAACTACTTACATATCTAATACTCCACATTAAAACGTAAATACTTTCACACAAAGTAATAAATTGAGGGTAAGAATTCCCAAAGACATTGTCAAAGCTGCGGCTCCACCGACATACTCATTATTACACTTGTCGTCGGAACAAGTTGTGCAAGAAGACACGTTGTTTTTGTTCAGCCACTCTTCGATATATGTGCAAGATGACTCAATGTACTTAGTCTTTTCTACGCAGCCTCTGTAGACTCCAGATGATTGACCTTTTTTCTCTAAACAGAAAAAGCCACCAAATATGTAATATACTACGTCTTTCTAAGTTATACCTGCTTCATAGACCATGGTGAAACATTCAAATTTTAATTCGGATCGATTACTAACTCTAGTCTCAATGTCCGTCTTGTCAATGTCGTTAATCAGTTTCTTAAGATATGTGGGTGGTATTGTGGCACCGTCATCTTCTTCACAAACTGTAGTCTTCGCGTTATCTATTTCGGGCTTCATGCATTTGCCGTCTGTATTTGGATCGCAATCATAGCATCTCAGAGCGTTGCTAACGGCTGAAAATCAAATAATGAATAGGTACTACAAATTTAAATCGTTCCTATGTAGTTACCCGCAACTGAGAGAGATAGAATTAAGAGTGTAAGTTCCATGCTGATGTGGTAGAATTAGATCGATGGTTTATTAACCGTTTCCGGTGAAGTGGTTTAACGGTGTAACCACAGACTTGAATTTTTTTTCTCTAAATGCACAGTAGCGTTTGAATGGAAAACTGTCTTATCTATCTAACTTTACACATTGCCAGTGTTGCCAGAGATAAATGGTAAAATTCCTCTACATAAAAATTTCATTCGCCATTCAAAATAACATTTTTTATAAGTGCAATATAACATGCCAAGTGCACAAAAAATCCCTCGAATTTTCCAATTTTCAAGTCTCAAAAAAATTCAGCTACATTTCCAGGTTTTTTACGCTATCGTGGCTACGCCCCCCGTTGGTCAAAATTCCCCTACCGATAGCGGAATTCCGCTACATTTGGCAACACTGCACAACGTCATCTATTGGCTACGAGCCGTATACAAGTGTAGACCACTGTTTTCCCACTTTTCAAAGCACTTATTTTGCTGTTTGGAATAATTAAGATGGATTTATAAACTCATCCGCAGCAGCAGCGGTTGCTGTTCACGCAGCCGCAGCAAGTTGAAACATTTGGATTGCCTACAATGATTCATAACAGCAACAGCAACGGCTGCAGTTTATGAATGTTAGTAGGCAATTCGAATGTTTCAACTTACTGCGGCTGCGTGAACAGCAACCGCTGCTGCTGTGGATGAGTTTATAAATCCAGCTTTAAGGGCCGGTTTATCAATGCTCAGTTAAAAGTGTCTGTTAAGTAACTGTCAGATAAGGGTAACTATCAGTTAACGGAGGTAAAGTGTTTATCAATGCACGATCTTTCTTCCAGTTTCGTAGCTCGAAGTTTAGCTGTTACTCTCTTAAGTTGGTAACGCTCACCCTACTGGAAATGAGTTGTGATTGGTCAGTTCAAAACTACCCCGACCTTGAAAGTTCCATCAGATTCGATCCGCATTCGGTATTCAACCTTAGATTTCAACGATTGTATATCGCGTTTCACGTGATCAATCATGAAAAAGCAAAATTTAACATTAGAAAAAAAGTATTGGAAATTAAAAATGAAACAAGTAGGTACACCTATAAATAAATACAGAGAGATCGAAAAAGAAATTAGTCAAAGTTGGCCATGCACGAAAAGGCTTTTGTCTTAGTTTAAAATAATTTTTGATTAACCGTCATGTTGACAAAAGTAATTTGCACTGTTATCAAACGAAATTAAAGCTTTTTTGTTATTAGAATCTTCAGAAATGGGATAAATGTTAGACAAAATTGGAAAACGGTGATTTTAATTCATTCTTATGTGTTTTAAAAGTAGGCGTCATAATTCTAATTTTAAACTGTCAATTTGACATTTAATAAAAAAAATTAAATTACCCTACCACCGTGATTACGACAAACGGTTTGTCGTGCATGGCCTACTTCGATTAAATTCTTTTTCGATCTCGCGGTATTATTAGATAGGTTTTTAGTTTTTGGTACCCACATTAGACCTGGAAAATAATCAGCTAACAATAAGTGTTTTTCTCATCTTTTCTCTGTCAATTTGTTGCACAACATAAGTCCTAATCAAAATATTGTTAAATTCATAACAGATTTATTTGGATTTGTTAGGTTATGTTGCCACTAACTGGTGGATAACGTTTTAACTGACAGTTTGAACTGTCAGTTAATTTATCAGGCACTTTGACCACCAGTTTTGAGCTAGCGGGTAATGATAAACAGGTTAACTCACAGACAAGCTTTAACTGCCAGTTACTTTAACTTAACTGCGCATTGATAAACCGCGAGCAGGTTTTACTCAAGCCATTCATTCGTTTCTCAAACTGTGAAGTCAGTGAATTCTGAGGGACGTAAACATTTTCGAGGGAAGAGGTGAATCTTACTGCCCATTCACAATGGACATAAGGCATAACAAGTACATAAAGCTTACATAAATACATAAAGTTGAAACGATGGAAAACGTATACCCCTGTTCACAGTGGACGAACGTAATTCTTATGCTTATGAACGTTTTATGTAATCCTTGTGTGCGTACACAAAGTTGAAATAAGTTCAACTTTGTGCACGAATTATGTCAAAATTATGTTAAAACCTAGGGATTTGAATGCTACTATTGAATTCCCTTTGACAGTTGACACTTGGCACTTCACACCTTTGATTATATTATATAAATTATAATCAAAGCTTCACACTGCGAGTCTGTTTTGTACTGCAAGTTGTCAACTTCGAATATCGTATGAAATTGTAGATTAGATATTTTGATTGACTGAGGGCCGGTTTATCAATGCGCAGTTAAGTTAAAGTAACTGGCAGTTAAAGCTTGTCTGTGAGTTAACCTGTTTATCATTACCCGCTAGCTCAAAACTGGTGGTCAAAGTGCCTGATAAATTAACTGACAGTTCAAACTGTCAGTTAAAGCGTTATCCACCAGTTAGTGGCAACATAACCTAACAAATCCAAATAAATCTGTTTGAATTTAACAATATTTTGATGAGGACTTATGTTGTGCAACAAATTGACAGAGAAAAGATGAGAAAAACACTTATTATTAGCTGATTATTTTCCAGGTCTAATGTAGGTACCAAAAATTAAAACCTATCTAGGTAATAACTAGGTAATAATACCGCGAGATCGAAAAAGAAATTAATCGAAGTAGGCCATGCACGACAAGCCGTTTGTCGTAATCACGGTGGTAGGGTAATTTAATTTTTTTTATTAAATGTCAAATTGACAGTTTAAAATTAGAATTATGACGCCTACTTTTAAAACACATAAGAATGAATTAAAATCACCGTTTTCCAATTTTGTCTAAAATTTATCCCATTTCTGAAGATTCTAATAACAAAAAAGCTTTAATTTCGTTTGATAACAGTGCAAATTACTTTTGTCAACGTGACGATTAATAAAAAAATATTTTAAACTAAGGCAAACGCCTTTTCGTGCATGGCCAACTTTGATTAATTTCTTTTTCGATCTCTCTGTATTTATTTATAGGTGTACCTACTTGTTTCATTTTTAATTTCCAATACTTTTTTTCTAATGCTAAATTTTGATTTTTCATGATTGATCACGTGAAACGCGATATATATAACTATATACAATTGTTGAATACCGAATGCGGATCGAATCTGATGGAACTTTCAAGGTCGAGGTAGTTTTGAACTGACCAATCACAACTCATTTCCAGTGGGGTGAGCGTTACCAACTTAAGAGAGTAACAGCTAAACTTCGAGCTACGAAACTGGAAGAAACATCGTGCATTGATAAACACTTTACCTCCGTTAACTGCTAGTTACCCTTATCTGACAGTTACTTATTACTTAACAGACACTTTTAACTGAGCATTGATAAACCGGCCCTCAGGGCCGGTTTATCAATGCTCAGTTAAAAGTGTCTGTTAAGTAACTGTCAGATAAGGGTAACGAGCAGTTAACGGAGGTAAAGTGTTTATCAATGCACGATGTTTCTTCCAGTTTCGTAACTCGAAGTTTAGCTGTTACTCTCTTAAGTTGGTAACGCTCACCCCACTGGAAATGAGTTGCGATTGGTCAGTTCAAAACTACCCCGACCTTGAAAGTTCCATCAGATTCGATCCGCATTCGGTATTCAACGATTGCGTATCGCGTTTCACGTGATCAATCATGAAAAAGCAAAATTTAGCATTAGAAAAAAAGTATTGGAAATTAAAAATGAAACAAGTAGGTACACCTTTAAATAAATACAGAGAAATCGAAAAAGAAATTAGTCAAAGTCGGCCATGCACGAAAAGGCGTTTGTCTTAGTTTAAAATAATTTTTTATTAATCGTCGCGTTGACAAAAGTAATTTGCCCTGTTATCAAACGAAATTAAAGCTTTTTTGTTATTAGAATCTTCAGAAATGGGATAAATTTTAGACAAAATTGGAAAACGGTGATTTTAATTCATTCTTATGTGTCTTAAAAGTAGGCGTCATAATTCTAATTTCAAACTGTCAATTTGACATTTAATAAAAAAAATTAATTTACCCTACCACCGTGATTACGACAAACGGCTTGTCGTGCATGGCCTACTTCGATTAATTTCTTTTTCGATCTCGCGGTATTATTAGATAGGTTTTTAATTTTTGGTACCTACATTAGACCTGGAAAATAATCAGCTAATAATAAGTGTTTTTCTCATCTTTTCTCTGTCAATTTGTTCCACAACATAAGTCCTCATCAAAATATTGTTAAATTCATAACAGATTTATTTCAATTTGTTAGGTTATGTTGCCACTAACTGGTGGATAACGCTTTAACTGACAGTTTGAACTGTCAGTTAATTTATCAGGCACTTTGACCACCAGTTTTGAGCTAGCGGGTAATGATAAACAGGTTAACTCACAGACAAGCTTTAACTGCCAGTTACTTTAACTTAACTGCGCATTGATAAACCGGACCTAAGTTTGAAGTTAGCCGTTTCTATGTTTAGCCAGGAGTTATTCCGTTCTGCGCTTGCGCAGTTTAACAATTCTTACAGAGTTCACTCTGTCCACTGTGAACGTAGATAAGCATAAGCCAGACACAAACCAAAAACGTAAATTATGTTATGCGCTCGTTCTTATGTCTTATGTCCATTGTGAATGGGCAGTTAGTCACAGCGTACACAGAAAGATTCAACTTAGTTCGGGTACCGTCGTCGACTTGTAACACTCCACCGATTATAATATGACAAAAGTATTTCAAAATACGATCTCCTCGTGTCTGTACTTTTGCGTTTTAGAGTGGGAGTAGATGTCAACCTCCGCTTAGCGTCTTTCCTCACCTGACCCGAGTGAGGGCGACCAGAAATCGGCTTGAATTTTGTTCGAAAACATGCGTTCTGTTTTTTCGTTTCATAGCAACATTTTGTAATTTACAACGTCGCAATTTTATATACACCGTTACGAAACATTGATCTTGCTGCCCCCGTTTGAATTTTTCGAAGGCGTCATTTAATTGCCGAGTTACAAACGTTTCTTTTAAGCCAATTTTATGTGATTTTGTTAATTTTTATTGCAACAGTTATTTATCAGATTTTAAAAATTCGAACGGTAGCAAAATGCCACATCCTTTGACAACACTCAATTAAATGTTTAACTATTTTTAACCATTAATAAATCAATGATTCGAAAAATCATAACCCATTGCACGGGCTACTTTCCGTGTGGGTAAAACCACCTTTTAAGCTAAATTAAAAGTTCAGACACCGCCACCGTTAGATACAGAAGCATTTAATGAGAACACATAACCTATTCTACAAAATTTAGTAGACCTGGAGAATCCTATTGATTATTTCTTATGTCTCTTTGACAGTGAACGAATTGATCACATTACTTTCCAAACAAATATATACGTTACGCAAGCTGGGAAGTCTTTCAAACTCACAGATGCTGCGGAGTTAAAACTTTTATTGCTATCAATATTTTGATGGGGTTAAAAAAGTCACCAAATTATCGTGACTAATGGTCTTCAAGGA